GGCGGTCTTCGATCACCCGCCCGAGGGTCGAGAGGCGGGCGAGTGGCTGGTCCACCTGAGGCAGCGGACGAGGACTGCGCAGGACTTCGCATTGGAGTTACGAACTCTGGCAGCTGGATCCGGGTGGAACGAGCGGGCCCTGATCAACCATTTCCGGTGCCATCTGCGGGAGTACGTCCGACAGGAGCTAACCTGCTGTGACACCATGTTGTCCTTCTCGCAACTGGTGGACATGGCCATTCGTTTGGACAACCTGCTGGCAGCCAGATGACGTCCTGGAGGAGGTCTGCCCATTTCCACCCTGGCCAACTAGGATCCAGAGTGGAACCACTAGCCGCGAGAGGGGAGGACGACAGCACCAGCGCCAGTGCCACACTGGTGGCACAAAGGGACATTCCACCACACGTTTTCGTCAACGCTCTTCTGGGTCTGGAGGCGGAAGGCAGGGCACTTTTTGAGTCCCCTGCTTTCCCTGTGGTATTAGGTATCCCTTGGCTAGCACTCCACAACCCCACCTTCTCATGGCCGCAGAGGGTTCTCACAGGGTGATCGCGAGAGTGTCAGGGTAGGTGTCTAGGTGTTTCCGTTGGTGCAACCACGTGGAAAGTCCAGACAGTACCTCCACCGTGCGCATTCCCCCCAAATACCTCAATCTAGCGCAAGCGTTCTCTAAAACGCAGGCGACTAAGTTACCACCTCATCTGGCGGGGGATTGCATGATAAACCTCCGGGTAGACGCTGTTCCTCCCAGGAGTCATGTGTATCCCCTGTCACAGGCTGAAATGGAGGCTATGGAAACATATGTTATCGAGTCCCTGCGCCAGGGGTATATACGTCCCTCCACTTCACCCGCCTCCTCAAGTTTATTTTTTGTGAAGAAGAGAGACGGCGGTCTGCGCCTGTGCATTGATTATTGACCACTGAACTAGGAGACGATACGATTTAGTTATCCTCTCCCCCTCATTCCTTCAATGATTGAGTCAATGCGTGGGGCGCGCTTCTTCACCAAATTAAATCTCAGGAGTGCGTACAACCTGGTGCGTATCAGAGAGGGGGATGAGTGGAAGACAGCATTCAGCACAACCACGGGGGATTATGAATACCTGGTGATGCCCTATGGTTTGATGAATGCTCCACCCCGATCCATCACTACCGTTCGTAGTGGAAGTGGATGTGTCCGAAGTTGGGATAGGAGCTGTCCTGTCTCAACGCTCAGGCATGCCACCCAAGCTTCGCCCCTGTGCGTTCTTCTCTAAGAAGCTCAGCCCGGCGGAGCAGAACTACGGCGTTGGTGATCGGGAGCTGTTGGCTGTTGTCCGAGCCTTGACCGTGTGGAGGCATTGGCTCGAAGGGGCGAAACACCCTTTCCTCGTCTGGACGGACCACCGTAACCTGGAGTACATCCGGGCAGCGAGGAGGCTGAACCCTCGCCAGGCCAGGTGGGCCCGATTCTTCACCCGGTTTGATTTCACTCTATCATACATCCTGGGTATGAAGAACGTGAAGGTAGACGCACTGTCCCGACTGTATGAAACAGAGGAGAGGCCCAGAGACAACACCCCCATACTCCCGGCCTCCTGCATTGTGGCGCCGGTAGTATGGGCGATGGACGCGGATATAGAGCAGGCATTACGCATGGATCCATCTCCACCGCAGTGTCCAGATGGGCTACAGTACGTGCCTGCTCTTATCCGTGATCGTCTGATCTACTGGGCACACACGTCACCCTCCTCTGGCACCCAGGTATTGGTCGTACAGTGCGCTGCCTGACAGGAAAGTACTGGTGGACTATCTTGGCTAAGGACGTGAGGGTGTACGTCTCCTCCTGCTCGGTGTGCGCCCAGAGTAAGGCACCTAGGCACCTCCCAGCGGGTAAGTTACAACCTTTACCAGTTCCACAACGACCATGGTCTCACCTTAGTATTGATTTTTTGACTGATCTTCCCCTCTCCCAAGGTAACACCACCATCCTGGTCATTGTGGACCGCTTTTCCAAGTCCTGCCGCCTCCTTCCTCTGCCTGGTCTCCCCATGGCCCTGCAGACTGCGGATGCCCTGTTTACTCACGTCTTCCGGCACTACAGGGTGCCAGAGGATATAGTGTCCAACCGAGGTCTCCAGTTCACGTCCAAGGTTTGGAAGGCATTCATGGAACGTCTGGGGGTCTCGGTCAGCCTGACCTCTGGGTTCCACCGCGAGTCAAATGGGCAGGTGGAACGGGTAAATCAGGATGTGGGTAGGTTCCTGCGGTCCTACTATCAGGACCGGCCGGGGGAGTGGTCGGTATTCTTGCCATGGGCAGAATATGCCCAGAACTCCAAAAACACCATTCCAATGTGTTTTAGGTTACCAACCGGTTCTGACCACTTCTTTATTGACCGAGTCACTGGTGCTTCCTGCTTTAGTTTGTAAGCAGGAATCAGGAGGAGCTTCGTACGCGTCACTGTGTGTGACGTAAAAGTGATCTAGAGTTTTTTTTCCTCTGGTTGCACATTTAACATGCTGGTAGAAATGAGGTAAAGCAGATTTAAGTTTCCTTGCATTAAAGTCCCTGGCCATTAGGAGCGCTGCCTCTGGATGAGCATTTTCCTGTTTGCTTATGGCCTTATACAGTTAATTGAGTCCGGTCTTAGGGCCAGCATCAGTTTGTGGTGGTAAATAGACAGCTACGAAAAATATAGATGAAAACTCTCTTGGTAAATAATATGGTCTACAGTTGATCATGAGATACTGTACCTCAGGCGAGCAAAACCTCGAGACTTCCTTAATATTAGATTTTGTGCACCAGCTGTTGTTTACAAATATACACAGACCTCCACCCCTTGTCTTACCGGAGGCACCTGTTCTATCTTGCCGATGCAGCGTATATCCCGCCAGCTACAGTGAGGGAAAAAATTATTTGATCCCCTGCTGATTTTGTACGTTTACCCACTGACAAAGAAATGATCAGTCTATAATTTTAATGGTAGGTTTATTTGAACAGTGAGAGACAGAATAACAACAACAAAATCCAGAAAAACGCATGTCAAAAATGTTATAAATTGATTTGCATTTTAATGAGGGAAATTAGTATTTGACTCCTCTGCAAAACATGACTTAGTACTTGGTGGCAAAACCCTTGTTGGCAATCACAGAGATCAGACGTTTCTTGTAGTTGGCCACCAGGTTTGCACACATCTCAAGAGGGATTTTGTTCCACTCTTAAAGGGAGTGCTCCTAATCTCAGCTTGTTACCTGTATAAAAGACACCTGTCCACAGAAGCAATCAATCAATCAGATTCCAAACTCTCCACCATGGCCAAGACCAAAGAGCTCTCCAAGGATGTCAGGGACAAGATTGTAGACCTACACAAGGCTGGAATGGGCTACAAGACCATCGCCAAGCAGCTTGGTGAGAAGGTGACAACAGTTGGTGCAATTATTCGCAAATGGAAGAAACACAAAAGACCTGTCAATCTCCCTCGGCCTGGGGCTCCATGCAAGCTCTCACCTCGTGGAGTTGCAATGATCATGAGAACGGTGAGGAATTAGCCCAGAACTACACGGGAGGATCTTGTCAATGATCTCAAGGCAGCTGGGACCATAGTCACCAAGAAAACAATTGGTAACACACAGCTTTGCACACTCTAGAGAGAGTGTGTGTCCTAACCCTCTACAGAGAGTGTGTGTGTGTGTCCATCCAGAGGATGAAGGAGAGAGGTATCTGCTAGCATGCATTAGCGCAATGACTAGAAGTCTATGGGTATCTGCTAGCATGCATTAGCGCATGACTAGAAGTCTATGGTTTCTGCTAGCACGCATTAGCGCAATGACTAGAAGTCTATGGGTATCTGCTAGCACGCATTAGCGCAATGACTAGAAGTCTATGGTTTCTGCTAGCACGCATTAGCGCAATGACTAGAAGTCTATGGGTATCTGCTAGCACGCATTAGCGCAATGACTAGAAGTCTATGGGTATCTGCTAGCACGCATTAGCGCAATGACTAGAAGTCTATGGGTATCTGCTAGCACGCATTAGCGCAATGACTAGAAGTCTATGGGTATCTGCTAGCACGCATTAGCGCAATGACTAGAAGTCTATGGGTATCTGCTAGCACGCATTAGCGCAATGACTAGAAGTTTATGGGTATCTGCTAGCACGCATTAGCGCAATGACTAGAAGTCTATGGGTATCTGCTAGCACGCATTAGCGCAATGACTAGAAGTCTATGGGTATCTGCTAGCAATGACTAGAAGTCTATGGACTTCTAGAAGTCCATAGACTTCTAGTCATTGCGCTAATTCTAGTTAGCATTGGCTAGCGAAACTACCTCTAACTTCTTTCATACTGGAGACAGAGACATAAAAATGGAATCAATCATTGCCAAAATCCCAAAGTATCCATTTAAGGCTGATCTTGTCGGATTGTACAGTTCAGAAATGGTACGAGACAAATCACCTAGGCAGCTCCTCGGCTTCTTGTTCCAGTATGACCTGAGACTGTCCCCGAGGCGACAGAGTTACTGCAGCTGGTCCAATAGAAAGTTGCTAACCGGCCACAGACCTCACAGCACGTCCCATGACTCCTGGGTCAAAAATGTGAAGGTAGAAACAAGAGGTTTCTAATATCCCATAACTCTTGGGGAAAAACCAAGGGATCAGCGAAGCTAGTTATCAACGGAGCTGGTCCAATGAATTTGTTTATTTTCGAAAGCTTGTGCACATAAATATAACATGTCCTAACCTGGGTTGGATCTTTAACCTTAGTAATAATAATAATAATAATATGCCATTTAGCAGACGCTTTTATCCAAAGCGACTTACAGTCATGCGTGCATACATTTTTGTGTATGGGTGGTCCCGGGGATCGAACCCACTACCTTGGCGTTACAAGCGCTGTGCTCTACCAGCTGAGCTACAGAGGACCCCCCGACTCCCCCCTTGACTCCCCCTGACCCCCCGACTCCCCCCTTGACTCCCCCCGACCACCCCCCGACTCCCCCTGACCCCCCCCCCAACTCCCCCTTGTCTCTCTCCAATCACAGAGTGATCATTGGCTGAGCCTGCTCCTCCATGTGTTTGACCAGTTGGCTAGTGTCCACTGTGCTGGGGTTGACCACATCGACCTCGGTGACAGGCTCCGTGTAGAGGGGGTTGTCGAAGGCTCTCCAGCCTGCGCTGAAGACCAGGGGTTTGGTGAAGGAGGGCAGGGGACGGCCGGTCTTCTTGTAGAGCATTAAGGCTGTGAGACCCATCAGACACAGGGAAGCCAGCACCACCACCACTGCCAGGCCTGAATACATACGCCTCTGACCTCCCTTCAGAGACACTGCAGGATCACAGGGATAAATATTATAGTTTGGCTATGATTGATTGACTGATATGACTGATTGGATGATTGGTTAATTAACTGAGTGGTTAATTGACTGAGTGGTTAATTGACTGAGTGGTTAATTGACTGCATGGTATTCGACTGATTGATTGATTAATTCATTGACTGATTGATTGATTAGTTGATTGAAGGATGGATGATTGGTGGATGGATGGATGGGTTGGTTGGTTGGTTGGTTGATTGATCGACTCATTCATTTATAACTCACCATGTGTTGGTAATGTTTCTAGTAGAACTGGAGGTGGAAAAGAGAGGATTATTAAGAAGGTATTATTAAGAAGTCCAACGGTGTCTATTATCCTATTTCCTCAAATACTTCTTCATCATTGCCTTCATTTCATACAGTTCTATTGACATTCACATGTGTAGTCCACTATGGAGTGAGAAAGAAAGTTGTGTGTTTATTGTAATAGAGCCATGGTGCTCCTCTCTCACCTTTGGGCTTCTTACAGATGTATGGTTTGTCATGCCATCTGGGGGCAGTGCTCCAGGACCCATCGGAGGATAGCATCTCTCCATAGTTGTTTTGGGTAGAGTCGTAGGGCTGTCCCTCTGCCCAGTTAATGTAGTCCAGCACTGTTTGGTCAACCCACTGCCACTTACCTGCAACAGGGTCTGTTGTTAGTCATGTGGGTACCTACACTCTTACAAAGAAAGGTTCTATCTAGAACCAAAAAGGGTTCTTCGTCTGTAGAACCATTGTTGGTTCCATGTGGAACACCTCGTTTGAAAGGGTTCTACATGGAACCCAAAAGGGTTTTAACTGGTCCTTCAAAGGATTCTCACATGGGGACAGCCGAAGAACCATTTTGGAACCTTTTTATTCTAAAAGTGTATGTGTGTTTTGTACAGTTCTCTCCAGGAGTTGTAGTTACCTAGGTGTGTTTTGTACAGTTCTATCCAGGAGTCATAGTTACCTAGGTGTGTTTTGTACAGACCTATCCAGAATGATTGGTAGTTACCTAAGTGTGTTTTGTACAGGCCTATCCAGAATGATTGGTAGTTACCTAGGTGTGTTTTGCACAGTTCTATCCAGGAGTCGTAGTTACCTAGGTGTGTTTTGTACAGACCTATCCAGAAGGATTGGTAGTTACCTAGGTGTGTTTTGCACAGTTCTATCCAGGAGTCGTAGTTACCTAGGTGTGTTTTGTACAGTTATATCCAGAATGATTGGTAGTTACATAGGTGTGTTTTGTACAGACCTATACAGAAGGATTGGTTGTTACCTAGGTGTGTTTTGTACATTTCTATCCAGGAGTCGTAGTTACCTAGGTGTGTTTTGTACAGTTCAATCCACGAGTCGTAGTTACCTAGGTCTGTTTTGTACAGGCCTATCCAGAATGATTGGTAGTTACCTATGTGTGTTTTGTACAGTTATATCCAGAATGATTGGTAGTTACATAGGTGTGTTTTGTACAGACCTATACAGAAGCATTGGTAGTTACCTAGGTGTGTTTTGTACAGTTCTATCCAGGAGTCATAGTTACCTAGGTGTGTTTTGTACAGTTCTATCCAGGAGTCATAGTTACCTAGGTGTGTTTTGTACAGGCCTATCCAGAATGATTGGTAGTTACCTAAGTGTGTTTTGTACAGGCCTATCCAGAATGATTGGTAGTTACCTAGGTGTGTTTTGTACAGTTCTATCCAGGAGTCGTAGTTACCTAAGTGTGTTTTGTACAGACCTATCCAGAATGGATTGGTAGTTACCTAGGTGTGTTTTGTACAGGCCTATCCAGAAGGATTGGTAGTTACCTAGGTGTGTTTTGTACAGACCTATACAGAAGGATTGGTAGTTACCTAGGTGTGTTTTGTACAGTTCTATCCAGGAGTCGTAGTTACCTAGGTGTGTTTTGTACAGACCTATCCAGAAGGATTGGTAGTTACCTAGGTGTGTTTTGCACAGTTCTATCCAGGAGTCGTAGTTACCTAGGTGTGTTTTGTACAGGCCTATCCAGAAGGATTGGTAGTTACCTAGGTGTGTTTTGTACAGGCCTATCCAGAAGGATTGGTAGTTACCTAGGTGTGTTTTGTACAGACCTATACAGAAGGATTGGTAGTTACCTAGGTGTGTTTTGTACAGTTCTATCCAGGAGTCGTAGTTACCTAGGTGTGTTTTGTACAGTTCTATCCAGAAGGATTGGTAGTTACCTAGGTGTGTTTTGTACAGTTCTATCCAGAAGGATTGGTAGTTACCTAGATGTGTTTTGTACAGTTCTATCCAGGAGTCGTAGTTACCTAGGTGTGTTTTGTACAGTTCTATCCAGAATGATTGGTAGTTACCTAGGTGTGTTTTGTACAGTTCTATCCAGGAGTCGTAGATACCTAGGTGTATTTTGTACAGTTCTATACAGAATGATTGGTAGTTACCTAGATGTGTTTTGTACAGTTCACTCCAGAATGATTGGTAGTTACATAGGTGTGTTTTGTACAGTTCTATCCAGAATGATTGGTAGTTACATAGGTGTGTTTTGTACAGACCTATACAGAAGGATTGGTAGTTACCTAGATGTGTTTTGTACAGTTCTATCCAGGAGTCGTAGTTACCTAGGTGTGTTTTGTACAGTTCTATCCAGGAGTCATAGTTACCTAGGTGTGTTTTGTACAGGCCTATCCAGAATGATTGGTAGTTACATAGGTGTGTTTTGTACAGTTCTATCCAGAATGATTGGTAGTTACATAGGTGTGTTTTGTACAGACCTATACAGAAGGATTGGTTGTTACCTAGGTGTGTTTTGTACAGTTCTATCCAGGAGTCGTAGTTACCTAGGTGTGTTTTGTACAGTTCAATCCACGAGTCGTAGTTACCTAGGTCTGTTTTGTACAGGCCTATCCAGAATGATTGGTAGTTACCTATGTGTGTTTTGTACAGTTATATCCAGAATGATTGGTAGTTACATAGGTGTGTTTTGTACAGACCTATACAGAAGCATTGGTAGTTACCTAGGTGTGTTTTGTACAGACCTATAAAGAAGGATTGGTAGTTACCTAGGTGTGTTTTGTACAGTTCTATCCAGGAGTCATAGTTACCTAGGTGTGTTTTGTACAGTTCTATCCAGGAGTCATAGTTACCTAGGTGTGTTTTGTACAGGCCTATACAGAAGGATTGGTAGTTACCTAGGTGTGTTTTGTACAGACCTATACAGAAGGATTGGTAGTTACCTAGGTGTGTTTTGTACAGTTCACTCCAGGAGTCGTAGTTACCTAGGTGTGTTTTGTACAGTTCTATCCACGAGTCGTAGTTACCTAGGTGTGTTTTGTACAAGCCTATCCAGAATGATTGGTAGTTACCTATGTGTGTTTTGTACAGTTATATCTAGAATGATTGGTAGTTACATAGGTGTGTTTTGTACAGTTCTATCCAGGAGTCATAGTTACCTAGGTGTGTTTTGTACAGACCTATACAGAAGGATTGGTAGTTACCTAGGTGTGTTTTGTACAGTTCTATCCAGGAGTCGTAGTTACCTAGGTGTGTTTTGTACAGTTCTATCCAGGAGTCGTAGTTACCTAGGTGTGTTTTGTACAGTTCTATCCAGGAGTCGTAGTTACCTAGGTGTGTTTTGTACAGTTATATCCAGAATGATTGGTAGTTACCTAGGTGTGTTTTGTACAGTTCTATCCAGGAGTCGTAGTTACCTAGGTGTGTTTTGTACAGACCTATCCAGAATGATTGGTAGTTACCTAAGTGTGTTTTGTACAGGCCTATCCAGAATGATTGGTAGTTACCTAGGTGTGTTTTGTACAGTTCTATCCAGGAGTCGTAGTTACCTAGGTGTGTTTTGTACAGGCCTATCCAGAAGGATTGGTAGTTACCTAGGTGTGTTTTGCACAGTTCTATCCAGGAGTCGTAGTTACCTAGGTGTGTTTTGTACAGTTCTATCCAGAAGGATTGGTAGTTACCTAGATGTGTTTTGTACAGACCTATACAGAAGGATTGGTAGTTACCTAGATGTGTTTTGTACAGTTCTATCCAGGAGTCGTAGTTACCTAGGTGTGTTTTGTACAGACCTATACAGAAGGATTGGTAGTTACCTAGATGTGTTTTGTACAGTTCTATCCAGGAGTCGTAGTTACCTAGGTGTGTTTTGTACAGTTATATCCAGAATGATTGGTAGTTACATAGGTGTGTTTTGTACAGACCTATACAGAAGGATTGGTTGTTACCTAGGTGTGTTTTGTACAGTTCTATCCAGGAGTCGTAGTTACCTAGGTGTGTTTTGTACAGTTCTATCCAGGAGTCATAGTTACCTAGGTGTGTTTTGTACAGGCCTATCCAGAATGATTGGTAGTTACCTAAGTGTGTTTTGTACAGGCCTATCCAGAATGATTGGTAGTTACCTAGGTGTGTTTTGTACAGTTCTATCCAGGAGTCGTAGTTACCTAAGTGTGTTTTGTACAGGCCTATCCAGAAGGATTGGTAGTAACCTAGGTGTGTTTTGTACAGTTCTATCCAGGAGTCGTAGTTACCTAGGTGTGTTTTGTACAGACCTATCCAGAAGGATTGGTAGTTACCTAGGTGTGTTTTGCACAGTTCTATCCAGGAGTCGTAGTTACCTAGGTGTGTTTTGTACAGGCCTATCCAGAAGGATTGGTAGTTACCTAGGTGTGTTTTGTACAGGCCTATCCAGAAGGATTGGTAGTTACCTAGGTGTGTTTTGTACAGACCTATACAGAAGGATTGGTAGTTACCTAGGTGTGTTTTGTACAGTTCTATCCAGGAGTCGTAGTTACCTAGGTGTGTTTTGTACAGGCCTATACAGAATGATTGGTAGTTACCTAGGTGTGTTTTGTACAGTTCTATCCAGAATGATTGGTAGTTACCTAGGTGTGTTTTGTACAGTTCTATCCAGGAGTCGTAGATACCTAGGTGTATTTTGTACAGTTCTATCCAGAAGGATTGGTAGTTACCTAGATGTGTTTTGTACAGTTCTATCCAGGAGTCGTAGTTACCTAGGTGTGTTTTGTACAGTTCTATCCAGGAGTCATAGTTACCTAGGTGTGTTTTGTACAGGCCTATCCAGAATGATTGGTAGTTACATAGGTGTGTTTTGTACAGTTCTATCCAGGAGTCGTAGTTACCTAGGTGTGTTTTGTACAGTTATATAAAGAATGATTGGTAGTTACATAGGTGTGTTTTGTACAGACCTATACAGAAGGATTGGTTGTTACCTAGGTGTGTTTTGTACAGTTCTATCCAGAATGATTGGTAGTTACATAGGTGTGTTTTGTACAGTTCTATCCAGAATGATTGGTAGTTACATAGGTGTGTTTTGTACAGACCTATACAGAAGGATTGGTTGTTACCTAGGTGTGTTTTGTACAGTTCTATCCAGGAGTCGTAGTTACCTAGGTGTGTTTTGTACAGTTCAATCCACGAGTCGTAGTTACCTAGGTCTGTTTTGTACAGGCCTATCCAGAATGATTGGTAGTTACCTATGTGTGTTTTGTACAGTTATATCCAGAATGATTGGTAGTTACATAGGTGTGTTTTGTACAGACCTATACAGAAGCATTGGTAGTTACCTAGGTGTGTTTTGTACAGACCTATAAAGAAGGATTGGTAGTTACCTAGGTGTGTTTTGTACAGTTCTATCCAGGAGTCATAGTTACCTAGGTGTGTTTTGTACAGTTCTATCCAGGAGTCATAGTTACCTAGGTGTGTTTTGTACAGTTCTATCCAGAATGATTGGTAGTTACCTATGTGTGTTTTGTACAGTTCACTCCAGGAGTCGTAGTTACCTAGGTGTGTTTTGTACAGTTCTATCCACGAGTCGTAGTTACCTAGGTGTGTTTTGTACAAGCCTATCCAGAATGATTGGTAGTTACCTATGTGTGTTTTGTACAGTTATATCCAGAATGATTGGTAGTTACATAGGTGTGTTTTGTACAGTTCTATCCAGGAGTCATAGTTACCTAGGTGTGTTTTGTACAGACCTATACAGAAGGATTGGTAGTTACCTAGGTGTGTTTTGTACAGTTCTATCCAGGAGTCGTAGTTACCTAGGTGTGTTTTGTACAGGCCTATCCAGAAGGATTGGTAGTTACCTAGGTGTGTTTTGTACAGATCTATCAAGGAGTCGTAGTTACCTAGGTGTGTTTTGTACAGGCCTATCCAGAAGGATTGGTAGTTACCTAGGTGTGTTTTGTACAGATCTATCAAGGAGTCGTAGTTACCTAGGTGTGTTTTGTACAGGCCTATCCAGAAGGATTGGTAGTTACCTAGGTGTGTTTTGTACAGATCTATCAAGGAGTCGTAGTTACCTAGGTGTGTTTTGTACAGGCCTATCCAGAAGGATTGGTAGTTACCTAGGTGTGTTTTGTACAGGCCTATCCAGAAGGATTGGTAGTTACCTAGGTGTGTTTTGTACAGGCCTATCCAGAAGGAAGAGTAGCTGTCTTTCAGTAACTCTATGTTGCTCTTTATGAAGCGGAGTTCCTCAGGGTCCTCGATGCTCACCAGAGATGCCCCTTAACACACAATATTCTTATTAATGCTTCTCCATTTACTTTCTTTATGTTCTGTCAAGTTCGTGGAATACTGGATCCCAATTCCAGTTATCTCCTTCCCTCCCTGAAGCGTGCACCTGTTCACTCCCCGCAAGGATTTAAAAGCATTGGATTGGTCTAGCAGCCTGTGTCCTACCACACGTCTTACACCAATGCAGTAAACAAGTACACACTTGGAGGAGAAGGGGAGAGAATGGGAGATGGGCCCAGTCCAAAATCGCACCATTTTATAACGGCACCCCCGTATAGAGCCCTGGTCAAAAGTAGTGCACTATGTAGGGAATAGTGTAGTGGACACTAAGTACTATGCCCTTGCATCTAAAATGAAACTTGTTATCAAATCTTGCATATTGAATATACATGCATGTACCCAGAATAATTCTGTATTAAATAATGTGTTACATGGCCTCTAGTCTCCTCTCTCTCCTGCCAAGTCAATTTATCAGAAATCACAGGTCTACAACAGGGTGACATTCTTTGACACACCCTTGGTTTTGAGGCTCCTACCTTTGTGTATACAGCTGGTGGAGGCGTAGGCCCACTCTATGTCATCATTGACGAAGCTGTAGCAGTGCCCTCTGAAGGGCAACCAGGACCAGGGGCTGTTCCAAACACCGATCTGCTCCTCCTCCTGGATACACTCCCCGGGGTACTGGGACGAGGCAGTGGGCGGGACGGCTGTGGGGGGAACCAACCAATAGGATTACAGCACTGCACAGGGATCTACCAATAGGATCCTTCCCTCCCTGCTGCTTACACACACTGGGGAATTTGACTGTCTCACCTGGTATGCTCCCTCTAATTCTCTATCCCTCCCCTCCCGGGGGATCTGAGCCCTAGGACCATTAAATAATTTAGACGTATACACTGAAACGGTGACTGAGTTTATCAGGAAGTGTATAGGTGATGTTGTGCCCACTGTGACTATTAAAACCTACCCTAACCAGAATCCGTGGATAGACGGCAGCATTCGCGCCAATCTGAAAGCGCGAACCACCGCATTCAACCATGGCAAGGTGACTGGGAATATGGCAGAATACAAAACAGTGTAGCTACTCATTCTGCAAGGCAATTAAACTGGCAAAACATCAGTATAGAGACAAAGTGGAGTCGCAATTCAACGGCTCAGACACGAGACGTATGTGGCAGGGTCTACAGACAATCACAGACTACAAAAGGAAAACCAGCCACGTCGCCGACACCGACGTCTCGCTTCCAGACAAGCTAAACACCTTCTTCGCCTGCTTTGAGGACAACACAGTGCCACCGACGAGGCCCACTACCAAGGACTGTGGCCTCTCCTCCATGGCCGACGTGAGTAAGACATTTAAGCATGTTAACCCCCGCAAGGCTGCCGGCCCAGACGGCATCCCTAGCCGTGTCCTCAGAGCATGCGCAGACCAGCTGGCTGGAGTGTTCATGGACATATTCAATCTCTCCCTATCCCAGTCTGTTGTCCCCACATGCTTCAAGATGGCCACCATTGTTCCTGTACCCAAGAAAGCAAAGGTAACTGAACTAAATGACTATCGCCCTGTAGCACTCACCTCTGTCATCATGAAGTGCTTTGAGAGACTAGTCAAGGATCATATCACCTCTACCTTACCTGTCACCCTAGACCCACTTCAATTTGCTTACCGCCCCAATAGATCCACAGACAATGCAATCGCCATCACACTGCCCACTGCCCTATTCCATCTGGACAAGAGGAATACCTATGGAAAAATGCTGTTCATTGACTATAGCTCAGCATTCAACACCATAGTACCCTCCAAGCTCATCATTAAGCTCGAGGCCCTGGGTCTGAACCCCGCCCTGTGCAACTGGGTCCTGGACTTCCTGACGGGCCGCCTCCAGGTGATAAAGGTAGGAAACAACATCTCCACTTCGCCGATCCTCAACACTGGGGGCCCACAAGGGTGCGTGCTCAGCCCCCTCCTGTACTCCATGTTCACCCATGACTGCGTGGCCAAGCACGCCTCCAACTCAATCATCAAGTTTGCAGACGACACAACAGTAGTAGGCCTGATTACCAACAATGACGAGACAGCCTACAGGGAGGAGGTGAAGGCCCTGGCGGAGTGGGGCCAGGAAAATAACCTCTCTCTCAACGTCAACAAAACGAAGTAGCTGATCGTGGAATTCAGGAGACAGCAGAGGGAGCACCCCCCTGTCCTCATCAACAGGACAGCAGTGGAGAAGATGGAAAGCTTCAAGTTCCTTGGCATACACATCACAGACAAACTGAAATGGTCCACCCATGCAGACAGTGTGGTGAAGAAGGCGTAACAGAGCCTTTTCAACCTCAGGAGGCTGAAGAAATTTGGCCTGTCACCTAAAACCCTCGCAAACTTTTACAGATGCACAATTGAGAGCATCCTGTCGGGCTGTATCACCACCTGGTACAGCAACTGCACCGCCCACAATCACAGGGCTCTCCAGAGGGTGGTGTGGTCTGCCGAACGCATTACCGGGGGCAAACTACCCGCCCTCCAGGACACCTACAGCACCCGATGTCACAGGAAGGCCAAAAAGATCATCAAGGACATCAACCACCCGAGCCACTGCCTGTTCACCCGCTATCATCCAGAAAGCGAGGTCAGTACAGGTGAATCAAAGCTGGGACCGAGAGAATGAAAAAAACAGCTTCTATCTCAAGGCCATCAGACTGTTAAATAGCCATCACTAGTACATTAGAGGCTGCTGCTGCCTATTGAAATCACTGGCCACTTTAAGAAATGGAACACTAGTCACTTTAATAATGTTTACAAATCTTGCACTACTCATCTCATATGTATATACTGTATTCTATTCTATAATATTCTACTGTATCTTAGTCCATGCCACTCTGTCATTGCTTGTCCATATATGTATATATTCTTAAATCCCATTCCTTACTTTTTTGTGTGTATTGGGTATATGTTGTGAAATTGTTAGATAATACTGCACTGTCGGAGCTAAAAGCACAAGCATTTGGCTACACCTGCTATAACATCTGCTTAATACGTGTATGTGACAAATCAAATTTGATTTGATTTGATGCCTCAGGACTACCTGGCCTGATGACTCCTTGCTGTCCCCAGTCCACCTGGTCGTGCTGCTGCTCCAGTTTCCACTCTTCTGCCTGCGGCTATGGAACCCTGACCTGTTCACCGGACGTGCTACCTTGTCCCAGACCTGCTGTTTTCAACTCTCTCTCTACCGCACCTGCTATTTCAACCTCTAAATGCCCGGCTATGAAAAGCCAAGTGACATTTACTCCTGATGTACTGACCTGTTGCAACCTCTACAACCACTGTGATTATTATTTGACCCTGCTGGTCATCTATGAACGTTTGAACATCTTGGAGAAAAATCTGGCTTTAATGGCCATGTACTGTTATAATCTCCACCCGGCACAGCCAGAAGAGGACTGGCCACACCTCAGAGCCTGGTTCCTCTCTACCCAGTACAGCCAGAAGGGGACTGGCCACACCTCAGAGCCTGGTTCCTCTCTACCCAGTACAGCCAGAAGGGGACTGGCCACACCTCAGAGCCTGGTTCCTCTCTAGGTTTCTTCCTAGGTTCCTGCCTTTCTAGGGAGTTTTTCCTAACCACCGTGCTTCTACATCTGCATTGCTTGCTGTTTGGGGTTTTAGTCTGGGTTTCTGTATAGCACTTTGTGACATCTGCTAATGTAAAAAGGGCTTTATAAATACACTGCTCAAAAAAATAAAGGGAACACTTAAACAACAGAATGTAACTCCAAGTCAATCACACTTCTGTGAAATCAAACTGTCCACTTAGGAAGCAACACTGATTGACAATACATTTCACATGCTGTTGTGCAAATGGAATAGACAACAGGTAGAAATTATAGGCAATTAGCAAAACACCCCAAATAAAGGACTGGTTTTGCAGGTGGTGACCACAGACCACTTCTCAGTTCCTATGCTTCCTGGCTGATGTTTTGGTCACTTTTGAATGCTGGCGGTGCTTTCACTCCAGTGGTAGCATGAGACGGAGTCTACAACCCACACAAGTGGCTCAGGTAGTGCAGCTCATCCAGGATGGCACATCAATGCGAGCTGTGGCAAGAAGGTTTGCTGTGTCTGTCAGCGTAGTGTCCAGAGCATGGAGGCGCTACCAGGAGACAGGCCAGTACATCAGGAGACGTGGAGGAGGCCGTAGGAGGGCAACAACCCAGCAGCAGGACTGCTACCTCTACCTTTGTGCAAGGAGGAGCAGGAGGAGCACTGCCAGAGCCCTGCAAAATGACCTCCAGCAGGCCACAAATGTGCATGTGTCTGCTCAAACGGTCAGAAACAGACTCCATGAGGGTGGTATGAGGGCCCGACGTCCACAGGTGGGGATTGTGCTTACAGCCCAACACCGTGCAGGACGTTTGGTATTTGCCAGAGAACACCAAGATTGGCAAATTCGCCACTGGCGCCCTGTGCTCTTCACAGATGAAAGCAGATTCACACTGAGCACATGTGACAGACGTGACAGAGTCTGGAGACGCCGTGGAGAACGTTCTGCTGCCTGCAACATCCTCCAGCATGACTGGTTTAGCGGTGGGTCAGTCATGGTGTGGGGTGGCATTTCTTTGGGGGGCCACACAGCCCTCCATGTGCTCGACAGAGGTAGCCTGACTGCCATTAGGTACCAAGATGAGATCCTCAGACCCCTTGTGAGACCATATGCTGGTGCGGTTGGCCCTGGGTTCCTCCTAATGCAAGACAATGCTAGACCTCATGTGGCTGGAGTGTGTCAGCAGTTCCTGCAAGAGGAAGGCATTGATGCTATGGACTGGCCCGCCCGTTCCCCAGACCTGAATCCAATTGAGCACATCTGGGACATCATGTCTCGCTCCATCCACCAACGCCACGTTGCACCACAGACTGTCCAGGAGTTGGCGGATGCTTTAGTCCAGGTCTGGGAGGAGATCCCTCAGGAGACCATCCGCCACCTCATCAGGAGCATGCCCAGGCATTGTAGGGAGGTCATACAGGCACGTGGAGGCCACACACACTACTGAGCCTCATTTTGACTTGTTTTAAGGACATTACATCAAAGTTGGATCAGCCTGTAGTGTGGTTTTCCACTTTAATTTTGAGGGTGACTCCAAATCCAGACCTCCATGGGTTGATAAATTTGATTTCCATTGATAATTTTTGTGTGATTTTGTTGTCAGCACATTCAACTATGTAAAGAAAAAAGTATTTAATAAGATTATTTCATTCATTCAGATCTAGGATGTGTTATTTTAGTGTTCCCTTTATTTTTTTGAGCAGTGTACATTTGATTGATTGATTATTTGATTGGTGACTACTAACACACTGGGGTAGGTGCAGGGGCGGTCTGTTCAATAGGGCGATATGGGCGACGCACTGCCAAACGGGAAAAGGAAGGGATTTTTTTTCTAATCAATTATATCACGGCAACAGTAGTTCAGTGTTCTAATCTAGACGTTTGATCTGCCAGCCACTAAATGTCCAATCAGGCTAAAGTCGTGCTTCAAATGTCCCCGCCCGTTTTGGGGCGATTTCAGTCAGGTTGAAAATCGCCCAGAAGTCTCTCATAGCCTCTAATGTAAAAAAAATTTTTTTCAAATTTCAGAGCTTTCAATACAATCTCTATGGGTTTCTGAGGGCTTGCACTTACGCGCTTTCGTCATACGTAACGTAACGTAACCATGAACGTAACTAAGAAACTACTCTTTCACCCTGAAGGCGGCACGGCAGACAGCACCGCTTGGACAGCGACTGGTGTAACCGACATGCACCATCTTTCAGAAAAGATTAAGAAAAATGAGCTGTCAAAGACCCACATTGATAGCTTTTTGAGATTGTCTGCTTTGGGGAGAGTGAATATTGCCACTCAACTGGATGAGGGATACAGGCTAGCTGTCCACCGCGATAACGATGAGGTTAGCAACAGCAGAGTCGTGAACACTGTCTACGAGAATCGAGACGACCTCATAGAATGTTTTGAAGCCATCCGGACGGGTTCATTGGGTTCATTTCACCAGCCCACCGTACCAGAAGCTACAGAAGAAGGACATCGATGCTGTCTTTATCAAACGTGCCCTCGACAGCTTCGCAAGCAGTGTGCAGGCCATAAGGTAAGATAAAGATTAAACAATATCATTCGATCTTTCTCAAAGCAGAGCTTTATTTGAAAATGTATGCATGAAAGGAGACTGCATTTGTGTTTGAAATTACATTATTCTCATTATATATGGCCAGTGGTGTAATCTATCTTATTTTATATACTATGTGTACTGTACAGTGGTGCTCATAAGTGTATGAACACATTCTAAAGCTGACTAAAAAGAGGAATAAAAAAATAAAAAAATCATCTTTTGGAAATTGATCTTAATGACTTAATTAAAAAAGTTGGAAAATCCAACCTTTAAGGACACCAATTTTCTTTTCTTTTTTATTCCTCTTTTTAGTCAACTTTAGCATGGGATCATAAGCTTATGAGCACCACTGTATACTGTGCTGAACATCCAGGCTATGTGAGACACAAAGGCTAACTTAAACACTAAAGACTTTATGCATCCCTGCTCATTTTAAGTGGAACTGAAGTATTTGTACTATACATGGATACATTGCATATACCTGTGCATCACATAGACAACAATACTGTACAAAGCCAACAAACACATTGGTCTGTTTGCCTTCAGGGACTCCTCTCAACAGCAGCTGCAAGAAGCAACAGGAGCCAAAAGACCCAGAACAGCTTTGAGAGAAGAGGAGAAGCAGAGGCTGTCTGAAGAGGTCTGCAACACCATCCTGGATCACACCAAAGAAAGGTTCTCTTTCTCTGGCCACCTTGTGAGTGCTACCTTACTGCAAGCAGACATGTTTGAAAGGTACTGCCATTCAAAAAAATAAAAAATCTGTTCATGTTCATTTTTACAAATCTATACAATTGGCCAGAATATGGTTGTTCATATTTACAAATCTATACAATTGGCCAGAATATGGTTGTTCATTTTTACAAAGCCATACATATTGTTTATGCAGTGTTGAGGAATGTGAAAGAACACCCTTGATTATTTTTACTGTGATAACTTATTTTGCTTTTGTAAGCCAACACTTTTGAGATCAGTCAATAAATGCTTCTGGTATTGACTTATATGCTGCCCCTGTCTTCATGTTGTTGCTGGACATATCTTTTTAAAAATGTGTGTAGGTCACCTAAATCATCAGAAAAATTGCCCCCCTGAGAATTTTTTCAGGAGCCGCCACTGTGACTACTAACACACTGGGGTAGGTGACTGTCTCACCTGGTGACTACTAACACACTGGGGTAGGTGACTGTCTCACCTGGTGACTACTAACACACTGGGGTAGGTGACTGACTCACCTGGTGACTACTAACACACTGGGGTAGGTGACTGACTCACCTGGTGACTACTAACACACTGGGGTAGGTGACTGACTCACCTGGTGACTACTAACACACTGGGGTAGGTGACTATCTCACCTGGTGACTACTAACACACTGGGGTAGGTGACTGACTCACCTGGTGACTACTAACACACTGGGGTAGGTGACTGACTCACCTGGTGACTACTAACACACTGGGGTAGGTGACTGTCTCACCTGGTGACTACTAACACACTGGGGTAGGTGACTGTCTCACCTGGTGACTACTAACACACTGGGGTAGGTGACTGACTCACCTGGTGACTACTAACACACTGGGGTAGGTGACTGTCTCACCTGGTGACTACTAACACACTGGGGTAGGTGACTGACTCACCTGGTGACTACTAACACACTGGGGTAGGTGACTGTCTCACCTGGTGACTACTAACACACTGGGGTAGGTGACTGTCTCACCTGGTGACTACTAACACACTGGGGTAGGTGACTATCTCACCTGGTGACTAACACACTGGGGTAGGTGACTGTCTCACCTGGTGACTACTAACACACTGGGGTAGGTGACTGACTCACCTGGTGACTACTAACACACTGGGGTAGGTGACTGTCTCACCTGGTGACTACTAACACACTGGGGTAGGTGACTATCTCACCTGGTGACTACTAACACACTGGGGTAGGTGACTGTCTCACCTGGTGACTACTAACACACTGGGGTAGGTGACTGACTCACCTGGTGACTACTAACACACTGGGGTAGGTGACTGTCTCACCTGGTGACTACTAACACACTGGGGTAGGTGACTGTCTCACCTGGTGACTACTAACACACTGGGGTAGGTGACTGTCTCACCTGGTGACTACTAACACACTGGGGTAGGTGACTGACTCACCTGGTGACTACTAACACACTGGGGTAGGTGACTGTCTCACCTGGTGACTACTAACACACTGGGGTAGGTGACTATCTCACCTGGTGACTACTAACACACTGGGGTAGGTGACTGTCTCACCTGGTGACTACTAACACACTGGGGTAGGTGACTGACTCACCTGGTGACTACTAACACACTGGGGTAGGTGACTGTCTCACCTGGTGACTACTAACACACTGGGGTAGGTGACTGTCTCACCTGGTGACTACTAACACACTGGGGTAGGTGACTGTCTCACCTGGTGACTACTAACACACTGGGGTAGGTGACTGACTCACCTGGTGACTACTAACACACTGGGGTAGGTGACTGTCTCACCTGGTGACTACTAACACACTGGGGTAGGTGACTATCTCACCTGGTGACTACTAACACACTGGGGTAGGTGACTGTCTCACCTGGTGACTACTAACACACTGGGGTAGGTGACTGACTCACCTGGTGACTACTAACACACTGGGGTAGGTGACTGTCTCACCTGGTGACTACTAACACACTGGGGTAGGTGACTATCTCACCTGGTGACTACTAACACACTGGGGTAGGTGACTGTCTCACCTGGTGACTACTAACACACTGGGGTAGGTGACTATCTCACCTGGTGACTAACACACTGGGGTAGGTGACTGTCTCACCTGGTGACTACTAACACACTGGGGTAGGTGACTGACTCACCTGGTGACTACTAACACACTGGGGTAGGTGACTGTCTCACCTGGTGACTACTAACACACTGGGGTAGGTGACTATCTCACCTGGTGACTACTAACACACTGGGGTAGGTGACTGTCTCACCTGGTGACTACTAACACACTGGGGTAGGTGACTGACTCACCTGGTGACTACTAACACACTGGGGTAGGTGACTGTCTCACCTGGTGACTACTAACACACTGGGGTAGGTGACTGTCTCACCTGGTGGCTACTAACACACTGGGGTAGGTGACTGTCTCACCTGGTGACTACTAACACACTGGGGTAGGTGACTGTCTCACCTGGTGACTACTAACACACTGGGGTAGGTGACTATCTCACCTGGTGACTACTAACACACTGGGGTAGGTGACTGACTCACCTGGTGACTACTAACACACTGGGGTAGGTGACTGACTCACCTGGTGACTACTAACACACTGGGGTAGGTGACTGTCTCACCTGGTGACTACTAACACACTGGGGTAGGTGACTATCTCACCTGGTGACTAACACACTGGGGTAGGTGACTGTCTCACCTGGTGACTACTAACACACTGGGGTAGGTGACTGACTCACCTGGTGACTACTAACACACTGGGGTAGGTGACTGTCTCACCTGGTGACTACTAACACACTGGGGTAGGTGACTATCTCACCTGGTGACTACTAACACACTGGGGTAGGTGACTGACTCACCTGGTGACTACTAACACACTGGGGTAGGTGACTGTCTCACCTGGTGACTACTAACACACTGGGGTAGGTGACTGTCTCACCTGGTGACTACTAACACACTGGGGTAGGTGACTGTCTCACCTGGTGACTACTAACACACTGGGGTAGGTGACTGTCTCACCTGGTGACTACTAACACACTGGGGTAGGTGACTGACTCACCTGGTGACTACTAACACACTGGGGTAGGTGACTGTCTCACCTGGTGACTACTAACACACTGGGGTAGGTGACTGACTCACCTGGTGACTACCAACACACTGGGGTAGGTGACTGACTCACCTGGTGACTACTAACACACTGGGGTAGGTGACTGACTCACCTGGTGACTACTAACACACTGGGGTAGGTGACTGTCTCACCTGGTGACTACTAACACACTGGGGTAGGTGACTCTCTCACCTGAGGATTGCTTACACACACTGGGGTAGGTGTGGTTACAGAGGGCTGTCTTCCAGGTGCCTTCCACGTCCAGGTAGACACAGGGCCGTTCTCTGCTGGGCTCCCCTTGGGCCCACTTGGCCAGGCTCAGGGGCCAGCCGTCCATCCACCTGAAGTAGCCTTGCGTCTGAAAAAAACCCCCACTACAGCTGTAAGTCAGTTGGTTGAGCATTGCGCTTCCAACTTCAGGATCGTGGGTTTGATTCCCGCTGGGGCCACCCACGCGAAAATGTATTCACGCATGACTGTAAGTCGCTTTGGATAAAGCATCTGATAAATTGCATCTGTTATATTACAGTACAGTAGCCTGTCTTGATCATCTGAAAACGTAACGTTATGCTCCTTAGATAATGCCTAGGCTTTATCTCAGAGGGCTAACACAGTTTTTGTTGTGTGGTGCTGTAAACGACCCTGTGGTTGAAACCCAGTTGGTCACACTATCTAGCAGTGAGGAGAAAGGTACCAGTAAGCTGCCCTATTCTGATGAGGAGTCTGTTGCACCTGAAGAGACAGCCAGCAGTGAGGAGAAAGGTACCAGTAACCTGCCCTATTCTGATGAGGAGTCTGTTGCACCTGAAGAGACAGCCAGCAGTGAGGAGAAAGGTACCAGTAACTAGTAGTAGTAGCTAGTACTCTACCTCATTCCTATTGAGTCCGATCCACAGTGGTGACTGCAGCTTCAGAGCCTGCAGCTCCAGGTAGGCTACTGACAGTTCGTCCAGGGTGCTAGCCAGCTGGCCCTCCTCGGCCTCACACTGCTTCCGGGCCTCGGGCCATGTCTGGTTCCGGGGCAGCACCATGTAGGAGTCGTTGGCCAGCTTCACCCATCCTCTAGGTAACGCTGTCGGGGCTGGGATCGGGATGCCTGAGTCTAGGAGGGCAGAGTAACAGTTAGTCACATCACAAATCAGAGGGCTGAGGATGGAGACAAGAAGAAGGAGGAAGAAGAGAAAAAGAGAAGGGGGAAGAGGAGGAGGAGGAGGAGGAGGAGAGAGAAAGAAGAGGAGGAGGAGGATGAGGAGGAGGAGGAGAGAGAGAGAAGAGGAGGAGGAGGATGAGGATGAGGAGGAGGAGGAGGGAGAAAGAAGAGGAGGAGAAGGAGGAGGGAGAGAGAGAGGAGGAGGAGGAGGAGGAGGAGGGAGAAAGAATTCTTCTTTCTTCCCCTTCCTTCTTTCTCTCTCTCTCTCTCTAACTGCTTTTTCTTCTTAGCTTCTTCGTTTTTCTCATCCTTCTCCTCCTTTCTTTACTCACCAACTTTGCGCTGACAGATGAAGCCGTGTGCATCGTTGCAGGACCTGTGCTGCCATTTCCCCAAGATGGATGAGGAACTGGCCATCACAAAACACTGACAGTGAGAGAAAGATGATCAATGCCAACACAACATTCACAGTCACAGACTTCATTCTGTCATATAGTATAGCTTTGAGCAAAATGTATGGCTAGCACATTAAATAATACATTATTAATATATTATTTTTATTGTTATTATATCAGATTTATTCTGTGTAATTCTCATTTTGAGTGATAGTTAGTTTAAATGGGTCTTACCTTATTAGACTGAGAGAAAAATAGATCTAAGAAAATCTACAATTAAACAAGCCAAATGATATATGTTAGTGGTATTCTAAAATTAAGAAACAAAATATTATACATGAATGGTATTTATTAAGAGACATTATTGGCTTAGGGATAAGATTTGCAAAGTAAACTAACACATCACGTCCAGTATGCCACCCAGTGTTCCAGGCTCAAAGTAAACTAGCACATCACGTCCAGTATGCCACCCAGTGTTCCAGGCTCAAAGTAAACTAGCACATCACGTCCAGTATGCCACCCAGTGTTCCAGGCTCAAAGTAAACTAACACATCACGTCCAGTATGCCACCCAGTGTTCCAGGCTCAAAGTAAACTAACACATCACGTCCAGTATGCCACCCAGTGTTCCAGGCTCAAAGTAAACTAACACATCACGTCCAGTATGCCACACAGTGTTCCAGGCTCAAAGTAAACTAACACATCACGTCCAGTATGCCACCCAGTGTTCCAGGCTCAAAGTAAACTAACACATCACGTCCAGTATGCCACCCAGTGTTCCAGGCTCAAAGTAAACTAACACATCACGTCCAGTATGCCACCCAGTGTTCCAGGCTCAAAGTAAACTAGCACATCACGTCCAGTATGCCACCCAGTGTTCCAGGCTCAAAGTAAACTAACACATCACGTCCAGTATGCCACCCAGTGTTCCAGGCTCAAAGTAAACTAACACATCACGTCCAGTATGCCACCCAGTGTTCCAGGCTCAAAGTAAACTAACACATCACGTCCAGTATGCCACCCAGTGTTCCAGGCTCAAAGTAAACTAGCACATCACGTCCAGTATGCCACCCAGTGTTCCAGGCTCAAAGTAAACTAACACATCACGTCCAGTATGCCACCCAGTGTTCCAGGCTCAAAGTAAACTAACACATCACGTCCAGTATGCCACCCAGTGTTCCAGGCTCAAAGTAAACTAACACATCACGTCCAGTATGCCACCCAGTGTTCCAGGCTCAAAGTAAACTAACACATCACGTCCAGTATGCCACCCAGTGTTCCAGGCTCAAAGTAAACTAACACATCACGTCCAGTATGCCACCCAGTGTTCCAGGCTCAAAGTAAACTAACACATCACGTCCAGTATGCCACCCAGTGTTCCAGGCTCAAAGTAAACTAACACATCTGTAGCCTAAACACAGTCCAGTTCAAAGTGAACGGCACAGATCCATATATGACAATGGCTATTTGCATATAGGCCTATTGCAGCTCTGATTGGTTATGCCGGACCGGTCTGTGTAGAGTAAGGGCTGAGTCGTGCCTGTCAATGCAATAGAATCCTACTCCAATGGGTTCTGCCTACAAGAAAATCTCTTGCATAGTTCGTTTTGTGTGGGTATGTTACATTGAAATTGGCTAACATTGCGTTGATTCGATCACAATTCCCACAGTACAGCTGAACATTGATAGTGTTAACTAAAGGGGAAAACTCAAGAAAGGTGAGTGAAGTTCAATTTCGTGCTTCTCTGCAGCTTAGACGGAACATTGTCTATGTCTATGTGAATGTTTTGTTTATATGTAAATGCATAAATGTCTGCTTCGCGTCACCCCTACGACCAGCTGTGGTATATTGGCCATATAGCACCCCCCCCCCCCCCCCCCCCCCGCGGGCCTCATTGATTAGGTAAATGTGTGCATACATGCATACCTTATTGGGATCCCAGTTTAAGTATTTGACTGCCTGGCCATCGGTCCAAACAAACCTGTCCCGGTTTAAGTTACTCAGTCCAATCCACAGGTCAGTGGCCACACTAGTCATCTGGGTCGTCAGAAACACTGCAACCATAGAGACAGATAGAGGACTCATCTTTGTATCTGTGCCATTATAGCGTCTGTGACAGCGTGGGCAGCTCATTGAGGCTACAGCCCATAGGAACCCCCACCCAGCTGACTACTTAAAAATGGTGGATGATGTCAAATAACACTGGCAATGTCCATGATAAAAACGGGTTATATCCTCTATGTCTATGGGCAGCGCAATGAAGGGTTATCTCCATTTTAAAGTGGTCAATTTTCTTCCTCATTGACAAACCATAGGCAACCCAAATGTGAAGAAGAAGACAATGCTCTGATCATTGGCTGATCGCTCTCAACCCATAGGAACCCCCACCCAGCTGACTACTTTAAAATGGTGGAAGCCCTCAATCCATCCAGAGCCCTCTTTCTATCTCTATGGTTACAACCCACAGGAGAGAGAGTTGGTTGGATCAACACTGACTGACTGATATTTGGCTGTTCCTTTATTTGATGGTACTGTCATTTTCGTCTGTAAAACAAGGTGCTACTAACATTTATAGCAGTATCCATGGGGTCTTTATGTGTATGACTGTCTGTAATGGGTCAGTTGATCAGTTTGACAGTTTAGAGTCAGTGGCGTTGTCTGTGGGCGTTAACTACCTGCCTGTCAAAGAGAAGATGACTGTTCATTCAGTATATACAGTATATATTTTGCAGTGGTGTAAAGTACTTAATAAAAAAAACTTTAAAGTACTACTTAAGTAGTTTTTGGGGTATCTGCACTTTACTATTTATATTTTGGACAACTTTTACTTTTACTTCACTACATTCCTAAAGAAAATAATGTACTTTTTACTCCATACATTTTCCCTGACGGCCAAAAGTACTCGTTACATTTTGAATGCTTAGCAGGACAGGAACATTGTCCAATTCACACACTTATCAAGAAAATCCCTACTGCCTCTGATCTGGAGGACTCACTAAACACAAATGCTTAGTTTGTCAATTATGTCTGAGTGTTGGAGTGTGCCCCTGGCTACCCATAAATAAAAAAACAAGAAAATGGTGCCGTCTGGTTTGCTTCATATAAGGAATTTCAAATGATTTTATACTTATACTTTTGATACTTAAGTATATTTTAGCAATTACATTTACTTTTGATACTTAAGTATATTTAAAAACAAATACTTTTAGACTTTTACTCAAGTAGTATTTTACTGGGTGACTTTCACTTTTACTTGAGTCATTTTCTATTAAGGTATCTTTACTTTTACTCAAGTATGACAATTGGGTACTTTTTCCACCACTGGTTTTATTGAAGTGTTTTGTATGTTTTAGGATAGATAGAGGTGAAAGGTTAAAGGTAGGACAAAGAGTGATGAAAGAGCAGTGGGCCGGATTCAAACCCCCAGCGGCACATCGTAGATGTGATCCAGAGGCAACGGCTTAGACGGCCACAGATGAAGGGTCATTGGGTTAAAAGCATCTCACCAACCTTGCTCCCTCCTATTGGCGATGGACGCCAGGTTTGCGCCCATGGATTGGCAGAACGATCTGGCCTCGAGCCAGGTACTAGGTACCCGGTGTCCAATCAGTTTGTAGCACTATAAACAAATCAATAAGCAATACATCAACTTGATTAATTAAAGTTGATTGACTATAGGCAAACACTTAGAGTTAGACTTTCATTCCCAAAGCCTGTAGTAAAACTGTATCGTCTGTTTTCATGTGAAAGACTTTTAACATTAAATTATTATTACATTATTATAACACTCTTCCTGTGTGACCTGTGATCTCTGACCTTAGACTGGTAGAGGGTCCATTCCGGGGGACAGCCTCCTGTGGGGGGGGCAGTAGGGGCCACAGTGCTGTTCGCTGGGGGGGAACCAATCCTCTCACAGATGGACCTCATTTGGGTGCCACAGTTATAGTCATGCCAGAAACCTGAAGACACAGACACACAGTTATAGTCATCCTAGAAACCTGAAGACACAGACACACAGTTATAGTCATCCTAGAAACCTGAAGACACAGACACACAGTTATAGTCATGCCAGAAACCTGAAGACACAGACACACAGTTATAGTCATCCTAGAAACCTGAAGACACAGACACACAGTTATAGTCATCCTAGAAACCTGAAGACACAGACACACAGTTATAGTCATCCTAGAAACCTGAAGACACAGACACACAGTTATAGTCATCCTAGAAACCTGAAGACACAGACACACAGTTATAGTCATCCTAGAAACCTGAAGACACAGACACACAGTTATAGTAGACCTAGTCATGCCCTTGAGTTCTGTGGTAACCACCCCCCAGATTCAGAATTAAAATAACTCAATGCAAGTTCTTATAAGAGAGGATCAATTATGGGCCTCATCTCATCTTTAGCTCACCCATGGAGGCATACATGGCAACACAGTTCTCATCGTTGTTCTTGAAGTCCGGCTGGTTGTTGTCCCATCTCTGGTACACTGCTGGGGAACCGTCCATCCACCTGGACAGAACACGGAACACAATAACTCAGAACTTAGAACACAAGAACTCAGAACACAAGAACACAGAACATAAGAACTAAGAACACAAGAACACAAGAAGATTCAAGAACATGAGAACTCAGAACACGAGAACTCAGAACACGGAACACAAGAACTCAGAACATAAGATATTGAATATCAGATATTGAATATCCCTTTGAGCACGGTGAAGTTATTAATTACACTTTGGATGGTGTACACCCAGTCACTACAAAGTACAGGCGTCAGTAACTAAGATGCCGGAGAGGAAGGAAACCGTTCCGGGATTTCACCATGAGGCCAATGGTGACATTAAAACAGTTACTGAGTTGAATCACTGTGATAGGAGAAAACTGAGGATGGATCAACAACACTGTAGTTAATCCACAATACTAACCTAAATGACAGAGTGTGTCACGCCCTGGCTCTGGGGACTCTTATATGTTGAGCCAGGGTGTGGATTTTCTATGTTTTGTTTTCTATGTTTTAGGTTCTAGTTCGTTTTGATCTATGTTGGCCAGGGTGGTTCCCAATCAGAGGCAGCTGTAGCTCGTTGTCTCTGATTGGGGACCATACTTAGGCAGCCTGTTTGGCACTAGTATTTGGTGGGATCTTGTTCCGAAAGGTTTGTGTTGTAACCTAGGACTTCACGTATCGTTTGTTTATTGTTTTGGTTCGTGTTGTGTACACAAATAAAGAATGTACGCTTATCACGCTGCGCCTTGGTCCGCTTCATCTGTCAACGATCGTGACAGAGTGAAAAGAAGGAAGCATGTACTGAATACATTTTTTTTCCAAATAATGCATCCTGTTTGCAACAAGGCACTAAAGTAATTTTGCAAAAAAATTTGGCAAAGCATTTAACTTTTTGTCCTGAATACAAAGTGTTATGTTTGGGGCAAATCCAATACAACACATTACTGAGTACCACTCTCCATATTTTCAAGCATGGTGGTGACTGCATCATGTTATGGGTATGCTTGTAATCGTTAAGGACTGGGGAGTTTTTCAGGATAAAAGAAATGGAATGAAGCGAAGCACAAGCAAAATCCTAGAAGAAAACCTGGTTCAGTCTGCTTTCCACCAGACACTGGGAAATGAATTAACCTTTCAGCCTTTCAGCAGGACAATAACCTAAAACACAAGGCCAAATCTACACTGGAGTTGCTTATCAAGAAGACCGTGAATGTTCCTGAGTGGCTGAGTTACAGTTTTGACTTAAATCAGCTTGAAAATCTATGACAAGACTTGAAAGTGTTTGTCTAGCAATGATCAACAACCAATTTGACAGAGCTTGAATAATTTTTTTAAGAATAATGGGAAAATGTTGCACAATCCAGGTGTGGAAAGCTCTTAGAGACTTACCCAGAAAGACTCACAGCTGCAATCGCTGCCAAGGGTGATTCTAACATGTATTGACTCAGGGGTGGGAATACTTATGTAAATGATATATTTCTGTATTTCATTTTCAATAAATGTGTACAAATGTCTAAAAACAAGTTTGCACTTTGTCATTATGGGGTATTGTGTGTAGATTTGTGAGAGAAAAAAACGATTTAATCAATTTTGAATTCAGGCTGTAACAACAAAATGTGGAATCTGTCAAGGGGTATGAATACTTTCTGAAGGCACTGTATGTGTGTGTGTGTGTTGTTGTTGTTGTTGTTGTTGTTTTTTTTGGGGGGGGGTATCCCTGGAACCTCCTACTGCATTTTTCAACATTTCTGATTAGTAAGGAAGCAATACAAACGACAAATCAAATTCATTTCTTTCATTTTTTCTTTTAAAAATATATTTTAAGCCATCCTGATTGGGTGGGCCAGTATTCAGCCTCTGCCCAGCCTGGCACTGCCGTGGCTTCGCCTCTGCACGAAACATGGAACGCAGAACAAAGAACACAAGAACCCAGAACAAAGAACACAAGGACTCAGAACACAGAACTCAGAACACAAGAACTCAGAAACACACAAGACATTGAACACAGAAAGAACACGGCAAATATGATGCATTCATGACATGACGGAATGTTCGGAAATACAACTTCTAAACTCGGAGCAATTATTTGTGTGCATTCACATGCTTTGAAATCGTTGAGAACACCAACTGGCTAATGTCTAACTAGCTACGTCAACCATAAACAAAAAGTGCAGCCGTCACGCTCTCAACCAAATTATTGTGTTAAATAAACATCCAAATAGATTGATTTGGATAAATAATGTTTTGGTAAGTTATGTCTGAGTCTCCAATTGGAGTGCCTTTCAAATCGATTTCTCCCACAAAGGAAGCTTGTATTTCAGAGTTTTTAAAATGTCAAGAACGCAGCAACAGAACAGCAGTTTGACACCATTAGTTTAGTTTATTTGAAAATCTATTTACTCGTTTTATACTCACCCGAAAGACCGATCAAGATCAACTGTTAGCCCGATGTAATGGGTTCCCAAACGCTCTTTATTTATCTGAAAAATAACAATTAACATTAAAACATGAGCCTATGATACTCTATATCTTCTCTCTCCTCGATAGGCTCGTATGACTCTCTCTATCTCTAGATCTAATCTCTCTATATAGAGCATACATTGTTCTCGATCTCTATCTCTCTCTCGCTCTAATCGCGATCTCTCTTCTCTCCTCTCTCTCTCTCTCTCTCTCTCTCTCTCAAGCAAGTGTAATAGATAATAAACAAAAGTGAAATAAACAATAACAATTAACAGTAAAATTACACTCACAAAAGTTCCAAAATAAAATTTCAAATGTCATTATGTGCAAAAGCACAAAATGGAAAATAAATAAACATAAATATGGGTTGTATTTACAATGGTGTTTGTTCTTCACTGGTTGCCCTTTTCTTGTGGCAACAGGTCACAAATCTTGCTGCTGTGATGGCACACTGTGGTTTTTCACCCAGTAGATATGGGAGTTTATCAAAATTGGATTTGTTTTCGAGATCTTTGTTGGTCTGTGTAATCTGAGGGAAATATGTGTCTCTAATATGGTCATACATTTGGCAGGAGGTTAGGAAGTGCAGCTCAGTTTCCACCTCATTTTGTGGGCAGTGTGCACATAGCCTGTCTTCTCTTGAGAGCCAGGTCTGCCTACGGCGGCCTTTCTCAATAGCAAGGCTATGCTTACTGAGTCTGTACATAGTCTAAGCTTTCCTTAAGTTTGGGTCAGTCACAGTGGTCAGGTATTCTGCCACTGTGTACGCTTCGTTTAGCGCCAAATAGCATTCTAGTTTGCGATGTTTTTTTGTTAATTATTTCGAATGTGTCAAGTAATTATCTTTTTGTTTTCTCATGATTTGGTTGGGTCTAATTGTGTTGCTGTCCTGGGGCCTCTGTGGGGTCTGTTTGTGTTTGTGAACAGAGCCCCAGGACCAGCTTGCTTAGAGGACTCTTCTCCAGGTTCATCTCTCTGTAGGTGATGGCTTTGTTATGGAAGGTTTGGGAATCGCTTCCTTTAAGGTGGTTGAAGAATTTAACGTCTCTTTTCTGGATTTTGATAATTAGCGGGTATTGACCTAATTCTGCTCTGCATGCATTATTTGTGTTTTTCGTTGTACATGGAGGATATTTTTGTAGAATTCTGCATGCAGAGTCTCATTTTGGTGTTTGTCCCATTTTGTGAATTCTTGGTTGGTGAGCAGACCCCAGACCTCAGAACCATAAAGGGCAATGGGTTCTATAACTGATTTAAGTATTTTTAGCCAGATCCTAATTGGTATGTCAAATGTTATGTTCCTTTTGATGGCATAGAAGGCCCTTCTTGCCTTGTCTCTCAGATCGTTCACAGCTTTGTGGAAGTTACCTGTGGCGCTGATGTTTAGGCCGAGGTATGTATCGTTTTTTGTGTGCTTTAGGGCAGCGGTGTCTAGATGGAATTTGTATTTGTGGTCCTATTTTTGTCTTACTGAGATTTACTGTCAGGCCCAGGTCTGACAGAATCTGTGCAAAAGATCTAGGTGCTGCTGTAGGCCATCCTTGGTTGGTGACAGAAGCACCAGATCATCAGCAAACAGTAAACATTTGACTTCAGATTCTAGTAGGGTGAGGCCGGGTGCTGCAGACTGTTCTAGTGCCCTCGCCAATTCGTTGATATATATGTTGAAGAGGGTGGGGCTTAAGCTGCATTCCTGTCTCACCCCAATGCCCTGTGGAAAGAAATGTGTGTGTTTTTTTGCCAATTTTAACCGCACACTTGTTGTTTGTGTACATGGATTTTAATTTTGTATGTTTTTCCCCCAACACCACTTTCCATCAATTTGTATAGCAGACCCTCATGCCAAATTGAGTTTTTGAAATCAACAAAGCATGAGAAGACTTTGCCTTTGTTTTGGTTGTTTGTTTGTCAGTTAGGGTGTGCAGGGTGAATACGTGGTCTGTCATACGGTAATTTGGTAGAAAGCCAATTTGACATTTGCTCAGTACATTGTTTTCACTGAGGAAATGAACTAGTCTGCTGTTAATGATAATGCAGAGGATTTTCCCAAGGTTGCTGTTGAAACATTTCCCACGGTAGTTATTGGGGTCAAATTTGACTCCACTTTTGTGGATTGGGGTTATCAGTCCTTGGTTCCAAATATTGGGGAAGATGCCAGAGCTAAGGATGATGTTAAAGAGTTTAAGTATAGCCAATTAGAATTTGTGTTCTGTATATTTTATCATTTCATTGAGGATACCATCAACACCACAGGTCTTTTTGGGTTGGAGGGTTTGTATTTTGTCCTGTAGTTCATTCAATGTAATTGGAGAATCCAGTGGGTTCTGGTAGTCTTTAATAGTTGATTCTAAGATTTGTATTTGATCATGTATATGTTTTTTTTGTTTGTTCTTTGATATAGGGCCGAAAAGATTGGAGAAGTGGTTTACCCATACGTCTCCATTTTGGATAGCTAACACTTCGTGTTGTTGTTTGTTTAGTGTTTTCCAATTTTCCCAGAAGTGGTTAGAGTCTATGGATTCTTCAATTACATTGAGCTGATTTCTGACATGTTGTTCCTTCTTTTTCCGTAGTGTATTTCTGTATTGTTTTAGTGATTCACCATAGTGAAGGCGTAGGTTCAGGTTTTCTGGGTTTCTATGTTTTTGGTTGGATAGGTTTCTCAATTTCTTTCTTAGGTTTTTGCATTCTTCATCAAACCATTTTGTCATTGCTGTTAATTTTCTTAGGTTGTCTGCTTGAAATTGTTTGATTTGATAGGGAAGCTGAGAGGTCAAATATACTGTTCAGGTTTTCTACTGCCAAGTTTACACCTTCACTATTACAGTGAAATGTTTTGTCCAGGAAGTTGTCTAAAAGGGATTTAATTTGTTGTTGCCTAATTGTTTTCTGGTAGGTTTCCACACTACTTTCCTTCCATATATAGCATTTCTTAATATTATTCAGTTCCTTTGGCTTTGATGCCCCATGATTGAGTATTGCTCTGTTCAAGTAGACTGTGCTTTTGCTGTGGTCTGATAGGGGTGTCAGTGAGCTGACTATGAACACTCTGAGAGACTCTGGGTTGAGGTCAGTGATAAAGTAGTCTACAGTACTACTTCCAAGAGATGAGCTATAGGTGTACCTACCGTAGGAGTCCCCTCGATGCCTACCATTGACTATGTACATACCCAGCATGCGACAGAGCTGCTGGAGTCGTGACCCGTTTTTATTGGTTATGTTGTTATAGTTGTGTCTAGGGGGGCATATGGGGGAGGGAATGCTGTCACCTCCAGGTAGGTGTTTTTCCCCCTGTGTGCTGAGGGTGTCAGGTTCTTGTCCAGTTCTGGCATTTAGGTCACCACAGACTAGTACATGTCCCTGGGCCTGGAAGTGATTGAATTCCCCATCCAGGATGGAGAAGCTGTCTTCATTAAAGTATGGGGATTCTAGTGGGGGGATATAGGTAGCACACAGGAGGATATATTTCTCTGTTGAGATAATTTCCTTTAGAATTTCTAGCCAAATGTAAAATGTTCCTGTTTTGATTAATTGAATAGAGTGAGTTAGGTCTGCTCTATACCAAATTAGCATACCCCCTGAGTCCCTTCCCTGTTTTACTCCTGGTAGTTTGGTGGATTGGACTACCAGCTCTCTGTAACCTAGAGGGCAACCAGTGGGTCCGTCTCCTCTATACCATGTTTCTTGTAGGATGACAATGTCTTTATTTCTGATTTATTTGGTGAAGTCCAGGTTCCTACTCTTTAGGCCAAAGGCAGATGACCTCAGGCCTTGGATATTCCAGGATGAAATAGTGATGGCTTTGTGCTCCATAAAGTGTCCAATGTTGTTAGTCGTGTGGTTTGGCCTCAGACCAGTAAGTGTGAGCAGAGCCTGCTGAGCATCTCTCTCTCCCTCTCTCTTCTCTCTCACACAAAGAGTGCACAAAACAGTAAGAACACCTGCTCTTTCCATGACATAGACTGACCAGGTGAATCCAGGTGAAAGATATGATCCCTTATTGATGTCATTTGTTATATCCACTTCAATCAATGTAGATGAAGGGGAGGAGACAGGTTAAATAAAGATTTTTAAGCCTGGAGACAATTGAGATATGGATTTCGACACCATGTAGAGTCCAAGCCCCGACGAATTGAGGGCAAAAGGGGGTGCAACTCAATATTAGAATGGTGTTCTTAATGTTTTGTGCACTCAGTGTATATAGCTCTGCCAATGTGTTTAAAGGCAGGACTATAACGAAACTATAGGTGTTTACCTTTTTCCACAGAAATGTATTTTCGTTTTGTCCGTCGATAACTACGAGGTCCCCATGCCTCTGCTGACAGTAGTATCTGGCATCCTCCATGGCCAGCATTTCAGTATTAAAGTAATATTGAGAGCCTCCGTACTCCAGCCAGCCATCCTCTGTCACATTATACTCTAGACAGGATTAGAAAATACTCATATCAGTCTGAATCTGAATCATCTCTGCTTGGAGACTCCAGAGAGGACTTATTTGCTTGGTCTGGACTACAGACTACAGACCAAGCAGATAAGTCCCCCTAGAGACCAAGCAGATACGTCCCCTCCTGAAACCAAGCAGATCAGTGCCCCTAGAGTCTAGACCAAGCACATGAGTCCCCTCTAGAAAGGGGACTTAGCTGCTTGGTCTCTAGAAGGAACTTATCTGCTTGGTTTCTGGAGGGGACTTATCTGCTTGGTCTCTAGAAGGAACTTATCTGCTTGGTTTCTGGAGGGGACTTATCTGCTTGGTCTCTAGAAGGAACTTATCTGCTTGGTTTCTGGAGGGGACTTATCTGCTTGGTCTCTAGAGATGACTTATCTGCTTGGTCTCTAGATATGACTTATCTGCTTGGTCTCTAGAAAGGGAACTTATCTGCTTGGTCTCTAGAAAGGGGACTTATCTGCTTGGTCTCTAGAAAGGGGACTTATCTGCTTGGTCTCTAGAAAGGGGACTTATCTGCTTGGTCTCTAGAAAGGGGACTTATCTGCTTGGTCTCTAGAAAGGGGACTTATCTGCTTGGTCTCTAGAAAGGGGACTTCTCTGCTTGGTTCTAGAATGGGACTTATCTGCTTGGTCTCTAGAAAGGGGACTTATCTGCTTGGTCTCTAGAAAGGGGACTTATCTGCTTGGTCTCTAGAAGGGACTTATCTGCTTGGTCTCTAGAAAGGGGACTTATCTGCTTGGTCTCTAGAAAGGGGACTTATCTGCTTGGTCTCTAGAAGGAACTTATCTGCTTGGTTTCTGGAGGGGACTTATCTGTTGGTCTCTAGAGATGACTTATCTGCTTGGTCTCTAGATATGACTTATCTGCTTGTCTCTAGAAAGGGACTATCTGCTTGGTCTCTAGAAAGGGGACTTATCTGCTTGGTCTCTAGAAGGAACTTATCTGCTTGGCCAAAATATTTATATTTTTAATGTGGTGAGCTCATTCATTAATTCATTCATTCATGCATTCATTCATTCATTTGATTTATGTAGGCATGATAGACGACTCATCAACACTTGCCATTATTTTCCAGGGAGTCCTGAGAGCTATGGGATGTGTTACTGTCAAGGGGACTTACCAGGGACGGTGTTGTTGGGAGGAGGTAGTGGGGTCACTCCTGCAATGAGAAGAGAGGAGAGGAGGAGAACGGAGAAGAGAGGAGAAGAGAGGAGGAGAGAGGAGGAGACGGAGGAGAAGGAGGAGAGAGGAGGAGAACGGAGGAGAGAGGAGGAGAACGGAGAAGAAGGAGGAGAACGGAGGAGAACGGAGAAGAGAGGAGGAGAGAGAGAAGACTGTGTTAGCTCACTAAGCTAAAGCCTTCTGGTCCCAGTAGGTTTACTCATCATGCACATGAGGTCCACTAAAATACTGATGTCCAACAGACAGAGTCCTAAATGTCTTCCTATTCCTGTTATAGTGTTGTAGTTTTGACCATACCTCATGGGCCCTGGTCAAAAGTAGTGCGCTACATGTGGTCTATTGAGAGACTCCATTCAGTACATTACCTTTAGGGATCTCACACAGCCAGAGTCAGACTGAGAGACTCCATTCAGTACATTACCTTTAAGGATCTCACACAGCCACAGTCAGACTGGAGAGACTGAGAGACTCCATTCAGTACATTACCTTTAGGGATCTCACACAGCCACAGTCAGACTGAGAGACTCCATTCAGTACATTACCTTTAGGGATCTCACACAGCCAGAGTCAGACTGAGAGACTCCATTCAGTACATTACCTTTAGGGATCTCACACAGCCAGTCATTGTAGCCCTCACAGTTTACATCATTCCAGGATCCCTCTTCATCCCAGAAAGAGTTTCTCATCTCAGCACAGGACTCCACGCCGTTGTAGTTGTTGGGTTCCCCCTCCATCCAGTGTTGGAAGGACAGCTGAGGACAAACACATTTGTAAGATAAACTTTCCCATGAGGTAGACTTCTGATCAACAATACTTCAAACCTATTACAGACAATCATGAACATTCCTCAAGGACAAACATCAGCCAACATGGATGGCAGCTCAGTTGGAAGTGTCCAAGAACAACACCAGCAACACATTATTATAATTAGTATTAGTATTATTAGTAGTAGTAGTAGTAGTAGTAGTAGTAGTAGTAGTAGTAGCTGTAGTAGTATTATTAGTAGTAGTAGTAGTAGTAGTAGTAGTAGTAGTAGTAGTAGTAGTAGTAGTAGTAGTAGTAGTAGTAGTAGTAGTAGTAGTAGTAGTAGTAGTAGTAGTAGTAGTAGTATTAGTAGTAGTAGTAGTATTAGTAGTAGTAGTAGTAGTAGTTAGTAGTAGTAGAGTGTAGTAGTGTAGTAGTAGTAGTGTAGTAGTAGTAGTAGTAGTAGTTAGTTAGTAGTAGTATTAGTATAGTAGTAGTAGTAGTAGTAGTAGTAGTAGATAGTAGTAGTAGTAGTAGTGTAGTATGTTAGTAGTTAGTAGTATATTATATGTAAGTGTATTAGTATTATATGTAACATAACTCATGGCACCATCAGTCCAGGTGTAGCCAGCGTTGGGGTCCTGAGCACTCAGGCCGATCCAGGCAATCCCATCATGGCTAAGTTATCCAAAACAATATCATGTTATCACCATGGCTAAGTTATCCAAAACAATATCATATTATCACCATGGCTATGGTATCCAAAACAATTTCATATCACCATGGCTAGGGTATCCAGAACAATATCATATTATCATTATGGCTACGGTATCCAAAACAATACTATATTATCACCATGGCTACAGTCTCCAAAACAATACTATATATCACCATGGCTACGGTCTCCAAAACAATACTATATTATCACATGGCTACAGTCTCCAAAACAATACTATATTATCACCATGGCTACAGTCTCCAAAACAATACTATATTATCACCATGGCTACAGTCTCCAAAACAATACTATATTATCACCATGGCTACAGTCTCCAAAACAATACTATATTATCACCATGGCTAGGGTATCCAAAACAATATTATATTATCACCATGGCTACAGTCTCCAAAACAATACTATATTATCACCATGGCTAGGGTATCCAAAACAATACTATATTATCACCATGGCTACAGTCTCCAAAACAATACTATATTATCACCATGGCTACAGTCTCCAAAACAATACTATATTATCACCATGGCTACAGTCTCCAAAACAATACTATATTATCACCATGGCTACAGTCTCCAAAACAATACTATATTATCACCATGGCTACAGTCTCCAAAACAATACTATATTATCACCATGGCTACAGTCTCCAAAACAATACTATATCATCACCATGGCAAGGGAATAAAACTTACGTCGATGTGAGTTAGCAGTATTACATCAATGCTATGTCTGGTGCCCCACCTACTGGACTTTTTTTGAGAAAACTGGAAGATGGTGGAAATATAACTGTCATATGCTGTAACAAAGATGTTACTAAGCCTTGGGTAAAATAGGTTGACTGTTTGGATCCTAGAATAAGACCTGTCGAAGATTATTGGGGGTTGGAATCGTTGCTAATCAAAAAAAAAGTGTGTGTTGGAGTGTTTAAGTGAGGTTGTTTGAAGAACGTACACATGATTCATAGACTGGAGGTCCGTAGAACTGTGGATGCTGAGTAGGTCTCCTCCAATCACCCTGCAGTAGTCCCGAGCCTCAAACCAGGTCTTCTCGTCTGCGTGAGGCTGTGTAAAGAACTGGAACAGACAGACACCCTATTCAGTGCACTGCTTTTGACCAGAACGCAATGGGCACCACACAGGGAAAAGGTTATCATTTGAAACACAGACTGTCTCTGGATCATGATCCGTTACAGTTAGGAAGAGATCCTTATATGACGACTAACCAGGTCGTTATCCTAAATGACTTAGAACCTCTGTAGCTCAGTTGGTAGGACATGGCGCTTGCAAGACCAGGATAGTGGGTTTGATTCCCGGGACCACCCATACTGTAAAATGTATGCATGCATGACTGTGGATAAAAGCGTCTACTAAATGGCATATATTATATTGTTATATTTTAGATCCTGGCTACAGAGATGTTAAATGAAGAGGAACAGCATTAACTCAACTAGAGGTTGTTACTGCAGTGATAATACACATTAGTTCAATTCTAAGTGATGTCTACCTTGAAGCAGTAGTTTCGAGTCCCCACAGGATACCAGTCCTCATGGCACCTGGGAGGGACAGGTGTGATTGGTTCTGGTGTTGGCCCCGCCCCTTCTGCCAGGTGTTTACATATATACTTCTCCTGATTGGTGCAGCTCAGCACATCCCATAATCCTGCTAGGGTCCCTGTTGTCATGGCCACACAACCCTGTCTACTGCCTGAGGTCAAAGTTGATGCAGAGAGAGAACAACAAAGACAGAGCAACATTCAGTTTCACAGCAAAGAGACTCCTTCCATAGAACTGCAGTGAGAGTCCTACTCCTTCATAGACATCGTACATAATCTTGTATCTAAACATCTGATCACCATTGCCCTTCTTCTCTAAATAATTACAATAGGTTTGATATTATAGAATGACATGATACATTATCATTATATAATATTGCAATGAAACAGGTGGGGAGAGTGAGCTCATCCCCAGTGGGCGGTGAACCGTCAACTTTCTGCCGCTGCGCACCATCGACTCCCCTCAGAAAGCACGCTCCCTTGGGGGTGTTGATAAACGGCGCTTCCAAACGCGTGGTCGCTACAATACATACAGTATTATTATATATCTCTGTGGTTGTCACGTACCTGGCATCTGTGCGTTCCAGTGGGTGTACCTGACCCTGTTGCTGTTGGTCCAGGTGAAGACGTCGATGTGGTTCTGGTTGGAGAGACCAATCCAGAAGTGTTGCTCTGCCCTGGACCCAACCAGGCTGATCAGGAAAGCATTGTCCACCCTGGACACATTATTATTAAAACATTATCATTAAAATGTTATACACCCTGGACACATTATTATTAAAACATTATCATTAAAACGTTATGCACCCTGGACACGTTATTATTAAAACATTATTATAACGTTATGCACCCTGGACACGTTATCATTTAACATTATCATCAAAACATTATACACCCTGGGAACATTATTATAAAACATTATCATTATAACATTATTTAAACATTATGATTAAAGGCATATTTTACTCAAAAACTATATTTTAGAATTTTTTCCTTTAGTCAAAATGGTGCTTGTGTTATGATCACATAACAGTGGACTAATTAAGAAAAAACTAAAAAGTTATTTTTTGAGTACAATATTATTTTAAACATTATAATGGAACTTTGTCCACCCTGAACTCATTATCATGAGACAATGTTTTATCCAGCCAAATTCATCTAGCCCACATTTCTGATCTAGAGAAGTATATCCCAGTATCTTCTCTTACCTGCTAGAAACATCTGCCAGATAAGACTGTGATCTCTTGCATGTCTCTTTGGCCTCGTCAAACGTCTTGGTCTCCGGTCCCACAAAGTAGCAGTAGGAGCCGTGCCTGGTCCAATGCTTCAGAGAGACAAACAGGGTCAGAAACAGCTGTTAGACTGTTGAGCTGGTCTAGGGTTAAGGCTGTTGAGCTGGTCTAGGGTTAAGGCTGTTGAGCTGGTCTAGGGTTAAGGCTGTTGAGCTGGTCTAGGGTTAAGGCTTCACGTGTTGATTATCTATCTACCTGCCCAGGGAATACAGTTGACAACTAGCTAGCTGGCTAAATCTGGCACATTTACAGATGTTTTTTTTTTTTTTATACTTTATTTAGCCAGTTTGAAACAGAGGTGGAGACGGGCAAGTGGGAGTAAGAGTAGGAAGGTTTGAATGGAGGACTGAACCCCGGTCTCCGGTGGGGAGAGGCATATATGTGGCTGTTCCAGAGAGCGTCGGCGCTGTAGAGCACGAGCTCTGACCCTGTCAGTCCACTCACCAGTTTGCAGCCTGGGTTCGTGTTCACCTGGTCCCCTGAGGGTTGGGAGGAAGACTTCTTCATACAGATGAAGCCGTGCTGGTTCTCACACACCTGGGTAGCCCACCTGCCCTGCTGCAAGACAGGCACAGTCACACAGGACACCGTCAGGGAGGGTGGTGGTTGTGAATGGGTGGTTAGAGTTAGGGTTAGGGGCAGGGTTAGGGGGTGTTAGGGTTAGGGGGTGTTAGGGTTAGGGCCAGGGTTAGGGTTAGGGCCAGGGTTAGGGGGTGTTAGGGTTAGGGGGTGTTAGGGTTAGGGCCAGGGTTAGGGGGTGTTAGGGTTAGGGCCAGGGTTAGGGGGTGTTAGGGTTAGGGTTAGGGGGTGTTAGGGTTAGGGTTAGGGCCAGGGTTAGGGTTAGGGCCAGGGTTAGGGGGTGTTAGGGTTAGGGCCAGGGTTAGGGGGTGTTAGGGTTAGGGCCAGGGTTAGGGGGTGTTAGGGTTAGGGCCAGGGTTAGGGCCAGGGTTAGGGGGTGTTAGGGTTAGGGCCAGGGTTAGGGGGTGTTAGGGTTAGGGGGTGTTAGGGTTAGGGGCAGGGTTAGGGCCAGGGTTAGGGCCAGGGTTAGGGCCAGGGTTAGGGTTAGGGGCAGTCTGGAGGGGGGTGATGGTACAGGGTTAGGGCCAGGGTTAGGGGGTGTTAGGGTTAGGGGCAGGGTTAGGGCCAGGGTTAGGGCCAGGGTTAGGGCCAGGGTTAGGGTTAGGGGCAGTCTGGAGGGGGGTGATGGTACAGGGTTAGGGCCAGGGTTAGGGGGTGTTAGGGTTAGGGCAGGGTTAGGGGCAGGGTTAGGGCCAGGGTTAGGGCCAGGGTTAGGGTTAGGGGCAGTCTGGAGGGGGGTGATGGTACAGGGGGGTGCATACCATACCTCTCCCCTGACCAGGACACAGTTGCCCTCCCTTAGCATGGCTTCCTCCCACCTGGTGTAGGTGACAGGGGATTGGTCGCTCCACTCAAACAGTAGTGGCGTCTTGACGTCGTTCATCCCGATCCACAGCTCGTCAGCGGCCGCTGGGACAGAGGAGAGGAGGGGAGGGGAGGGGAGGTGGGAAGAGGAGAGGGGAGGAGAGGGGAGGGGAGGGGAGGTGGGAAGAGGAGAGGTGAGTTGGAGTTACCCTTTTCACCCATTGTCTAACGTGCGAACTCTAGCGTATCAGTGTTTCACTGACCATATCCCAGCTGTGACATCACAAAGCTGTGCTGCTCGATGTTGTGGATGCTGGCCAGGTCGCCTCCGTCCTTGCGACATTCCGTCTGAGCCTCTGTCCAGGTCTTCTTAGTGCGCTGGAGGCGGTAGCACCTGGCAGCGTAGGGAATCCACGGACCGGAGCATGAACCTGCCTCTTCTGATGATCACAAACACATGGAAACACATTGTAGAATACTGTGCTACAACAAATACACCTGCCCATACTAAACCAAATCAAATCATAAAGAACTGAACTGGACTAGACTGGACTGAAATGGACTGAACAGAATTAAAACGAACTGGACTGGATTGAAATGGACTGGACTAGACTAGACTGGACTAGACTAAAATGGACTGGACTAGTCTGAAATGAATTGAGCAGAGTAGAATGGAGTGTTGGATCTGGCTGAACAGGGGCTCTAGGTGGGTCTTTCTGACAGACGTACCTGGCTGAACAGGGGCTGTAGGTGGGTCTTTCTGACAGACGTACCTGGCTGAACAGGGGCTGTAGGTGGGGTCTTTCTGACAGACGTACCTGGCTGAACAGGGGCTCTAGGTGGGTCTTTCTGACAGACGTACCTGGCTGAACAGGGGCTGTAGGTGGGTCTTTCTGACAGACGTACCTGGCTGAACAGGGGCTCTAGGTGGGTCTTTCTGACAGACGTACCTGGCTGAACAGGGGCTCTAGGTGGGTCTTTCTGACAGACGTACCTGGCTGAACAGGGGCTGTAGGTGGGTCTTTCTGACAGACGTACCTGGCTGAACAGGGGCTCTAGGTGGGGTCTTTCTGACAGACGTACCTGGCTGAACAGGGGCTGTAGGTGGGTCTTTCTGACAGACGTACCTGGCTGAACAGGGGCTCTAGGTGGGTCTTTCTGACAGACGTACCTGGCTGAACAGGGGCTGTAGGTGGGTCTTTCTGACAGACGTACCTGGCTGAACAGGGGCTCTAGGTGGGTCTTTCTGACAGACGTACCTGGCTGAACAGGGGCTCTAGGTGGGTCTTTCTGACAGACGTACCTGGCTGAACAGGGGCTCTAGGTGGGTCTTTCTGACAGACGTACCTGGCTGAACAGGGGCTGTAGGTGGGTCTTTCTGACAGACATACCTGGCTGAACAGGGGCTCTAGGTGGGTCTTTCTGACAGACGTACCTGGCTGAACAGGGGCTCTAGGTGGGTCTTTCTGACAGACGTACCTGGCTGAACAGGGGCTCTAGGTGGGTCTTTCTGACAGACGTACCTGGCTGAACAGGGGCTGTAGGTGGGTCTTTCTGACAGACGTACCTGGCTGAACAGGGGCTCTAGGTGGGTCTTTCTGACAGACGTACCTGGCTGAACAGGGGCTCTAGGTGGGTCTTTCTGACAGACGTACCTGGCTGAACAGGGGCTGTAGGTGGGTCTTTCTGACAGACGTACCTGGCTGAACAGGGGCTGTAGGTGGGTCTTTCTGACAGACGTACCTGGCTGAACAGGGGGCTGTAGGTGGGGTCTTTCTGACAGACGTACCTGGCTGAACAGGGGCTCTAGGTGGGTCTTTCTGACAGACGTACCTGGCTGAACAGGGGCTCTAGGTGGGTCTTTCTGACAGACGTACCTGGCTGAACAGGGGCTCTAGGTGGGTCTTTCTGACAGACGTACCTGGCTGAACAGGGGCTGTAGGTGGGTCTTTCTGACAGACGTACCTGGCTGAACAGGGGCTGTAGGTGGGTCTTTCTGACAGACGTACCTGGCTGAACAGGGGCTCTAGGTGGGTCTTTCTGACAGACGTACCTGGCTGAACAGGGGCTGTAGGTGGGTCTTTCTGACAGACGTACCTGGCTGAACAGGGGCTCTAGGTGGGTCTTTTCTGACAGACGTACCTGGCTGAACAGGGGCTCTAGGTGGGGTCTTTTCTGACAGACGTACCTGGCTGAACAGGGGCTCTAGGTGGGTCTTTTCTGACAGACGTACCTGCTGAACAGGGGCTGTAGGTGGGTCTTTCTGACAGACGTACCTGGCTGAACAGGGGCTCTAGTGGGTCTTTCTGACAGACGTACCTGGCTGAACAGGGGCTCTAGGTGGGTCTTTTCTGACAGACGTACCTGGCTGAACAGGGGCCTAGGTGGGTTTCTTTCTGACAGACGTACCTGCTGAACAGGGGCTGTAGGTGGGTCTTTCTGACAGACGTAGCCTAGTGACTTGGAGCACAGGGAGCTCTGCCAGTAGGACTGCTGAGCCAGGTTGACCAGTCCACAGATCTGACCAGGATCAGGGAGAGGGTGACCTACAGACAAACAACAACAACAGATATATCACTACATCTGAAGACTAACAACAGATATATCACTACATCTAAAGACTAACAACAGATATATCACTACATCTGAAGACTAACAACAGATATATCACTACATCTGAAGACTAACAACAGATATATCACTACAATCTGAAGACTAACAACAGATATATCACTACAACAAAATCTGAAGACTAACAACAGATATATCACTACATCTAAGACTAACAACAGATATATCACTACATCTGAAGACTAACAACAGATATATCACTACATCTGAAGACTAACAACATATATATCACTACAATCTGAAGACTAACAGATATATCACTACATCTGAAGACTAACAAGATATATCACTACATCTAAAGACTAACAACAGATATATCACTACATCTGAAGACTAACAACAGATATATCACTACATCTGAAGACTAACAACAGATATATCACTACATCTGAAGACTAACAACAGATATATCACTACATCTGAAGACTAACAACAGATATATCACTACATCTAAAGACTAACAACAGATATATCACTACATCTGAAGACTAACAACAGATATATCACTACATCTGAAGACTAACAGATATATCACTACATCTGAAGACTAACAACAGATATATCACTACATCTAAGACTAACAACAGATATATCACTACATCTGAAGACTAACAACAGATATATCACTACATCTGAAGACTAACAACAGATATATCACTACATCTGAAGACTAACAACAGATATATCACTACATCTGAAGACTAACAACAGATATATCACTACATCTGAAGACTAACAACAGATATATCACTACATCTAAAGACTAACACAGATATATCACTACATCTAAAGACTAACAACAGATATATCACTACATCTGAAGACTAAACAGATATATCACTACATCTGAAGACTAACAACAGATATATCACTACATCTGAAGACTAACAACAGATATATCACTACATCTGAAGACTAACAACAATATATCACTACATCTAAAGACTAACAACAGATATATCACTACATCTGAAGACTAACAACAGATATATCACTACATCTGAAGACTAACAACATATATATCACTACATCTGAAGACTAACAGATATATCACTACATCTGAAGACTAACAACAGATATATCACTACATCTAAAGACTAACAACAGATATATCACTACATCTGAAGACTAACAACAGATATATCACTACATCTGAAGACTAACAACAGATATATCACTACATCTGAAGACTAACAACAGATATATCACTACATCTGAAGACTAACAACAGATATATCACTACATCTAAAGACTAACAACAGATATATCACTACATCTAAAGACTAACAACAGATATATCACTACATCTGAAGACTAACAACAGATATATCACTACATCTGAAGACTAACAACAGATATATCACTACATCTGAAGACTAACAACAGATATATCACTACATCTAAAGACTAACAACAGATATATCACTACATCTGAAGACTAACAACAACAGGAATCGTAACATTAACAAATGCTTAATGTTCTCACCAGAGTCCCATACAATGTAAAGTCTCATTGTGACGTCCCATCTAATCTGTGTCCAAAATGGTGCACCCTATTCCCTATATAGTGCAACAGACCCTGGTCAAAGTAGTGCACCATAAAGGGAATAGTGAAAAGGTGAGAACTCACCCGAGTCCCAGCGGAAGTAGCGGAGGGGCTTTCCACTGCTCCACTGCCACCCACTGTCCTGTTCCAGAGCGTTCAGCCCCGTCCACAGCGGCACATGCTCTCTACCAAACAGGCCTGAGTGTAAGAAAGGGAAGGAGAGAAAGTTGCATGTGACATAAATAGTACATGAACAGTACACTAATAAACACAGTAGTACATGATATTATGTGGAAGGAAGTGTGTATATACTGGGCTGTGAGAAGACTGCTGTGCAGATTTTAATAGCAGTAGTGCTTTAGAATGGTGGACGTCTCTAACTCCAGTCCTAATGGACAGAATGTCTGCAGGTTTTCGCTCCTTCCTTCTACTTGATTGATTCGTTAAGCTAGGTCTTGAATTGAAAGGAAATAAAAACCAGCAGACAACTCGGCCCTCCAGGGTTGGAGTTTGACACGCCTGATGTATGTGAATGTGAGCATGGCCACCAGGTGGCACTACCTGATAAGTAGCTCTGCTCGTGGGGTGCGGTGATTGAGGCCAAGTCTGCTCCCTGCTGTTGGCAGCTGGTCCGAGCCTGGGTGCCAGGTCAGTGGCAGAGCGAGGTTCACCCTGGTAGAATGCAACATGTGACTGGGTTCCTTATAGCCAATGCTCCATAGCTAAGATATGAGGAGGATGAGGGAGAGAGACGAGAACAGAGACGAGAAGGAGAGAGCGAGAGAGAGAGAGAGGAGAAAGAGAAGAGAGAAGAGAGAGGAGAGAGAGAGAGAGAGATATGAGAGAGAGATAGAGATAGGAGAGAGAAGAGATAGAGAGAGGAGAGACAGAGAAGACAGAGAGACAGAGAGAAGAGAGAGAGATAGAGACCGAGACAGAGACAGAGACAGAGAGACAGAGGAGTATACAGAGAGAGAGAAGACAGAGAGAAGAGAGAAGAGAGAAGACAGAGAGAGAAAGAAAAAAGAAGAAGGAAAAAAGAAAGAAGAAAAAGAGGAAAAAAAAGAAGAAAAAAGAGGGGAAAAAACAAGCCCAAAAGCCCAAAAAAAGAAGAAAAAGAGAAGAAAGAAAGGGGGAAAAAAACCCAAAAAGGGGGGGTTTTTTGCCCCCCCCCCCAAAAAAAGAAAAAGACAAGAAAAGAAAGGAAAAAAGACAAAAGGAAAGACCGAACAAAACAGAAGGGAAAAAAAGAAAAAGAAAAAAGAAAAAGGGAAAGATTTTTTTTCCCCCCCCCCCCCCAAAAAAAAAAAAAAAAAAATTTTAAAAAAAATTCTGCGGGGGGTTTTTTTTTTTTTTTTTTAAAAAAAGAGAAAAAAGGGGAAAAAAATTCAAAAGGGGCGTTATTACCACTAAAATACAGAAAATTAATTTGGATTTTTTGCCCCCCACAGGGGGAGTTTTTTCGGGGAAAAGGCCCCCCAAACCTGGAGCAAAAAAGAGAGAGAGAGGAGACAGAGAGACAGAGAAGAGAGAGAGAGAGAGACAGAGACAGAGACAGAGAGAGACAGAGACAAGAGAGAGAGAAGAGGACAAGAGAGAGAGAGAGACAGAAGAGAGAGGAGAGAGAGAGAGA